CTATACTGAGAGATCATAACATAACATAATACATATTAAACATTTGGTGGAAACACTAAAAGTTTAAAAAAATTGCAACTTTTACTTTTGTTTGGCTGAGGTGGGAAAATTGGTTTTATCGCTAAAAGCAAAATAAATGGCAAAGTGCAGTGAAAATTCAGCAAATAAATCATTATGTACATGAAATGTATAACTTAAACATAAAGAGACAGGCAAAAACTTTGTGATTTGTGTTAATAGGAATTAATACACGAAACACACATTAATGCCATTTTTCCACCGTGTGTTCTACATTGTTTTTTTTAATCGTTTGAAGTTTGACTGGCGCTCCGTTAAGTACGTTATCTCACTGCGTCCCCTTTTTCTGCAATGGTTCAATGACACCCAACTGCAAAATTAGCACAACCAGCTGTTTATCTTGAGGAACAAACTGCTAATATGGCCTACTCATAAGGGTAGTGGATGGGAACTGGCATTAATTCAAGATTTTCTCGACAATGTGTTCAAATTTGCACTACATTTAGATGGAAACCAAGCTAGCGTGAGCATGTTGGGATAATGACTTTTGTATTTAGCTAAATATCTGCTGTAGGCGTTTATAGAATAACTGTGCGATTTATAGCTTCTAAAAATCAGTCAGTCTGATTCTGTATTTTGAGCTCATATTTCACTGTCAGTTTTGAACAGACATGCCTAAAAGATGAATCATAACTGTGGGGATCAAGGATGTGGTTGTAGATCACTGCTGGCAGTCTCCTAATGGAGGACACTGCGCTATCGGAACTACACACTACATGATCGTATTCTTCAAAGCACTCCCTGTGATTGCCATTGGGGCCAATTTTAAATAATGGTTTTGAAATGATGAAACCTCTGCATTTTCCTCTTCTAATCACCCAGAAAATGGGGACAGAAGATCTACCACATTCACCTGGGGAGATGTGTCAGGCACTTTGGTAGCAGGTAGCATGCCAACGCCAATTATAGGTTCACTCTTAACCCAAGAGAGCACTATGAGGAGGTTACCATATTCCCTCACTGCCTTTTTCCTCCTTTGCTCCCCCTCTGTTATACCTTTTTGCTCCTCCACTATGCAAAGCAGTTATTCACTTTGTTTACAAGTGCTTTAAGGAGTAATGTAGAAATTATGTAATGGGAAAACTTCAGCTAATTGTGCCACTTGGGCTTGACTCCAAGAGATCTCTCAGATGTTGCTGTTAAAGGAACTGTGTACCAGTTAAACTTGTCAGAGTTTTGAAGGCGGGGAGGTTGAGGCGAGGACAAGAGGAGGTGGAGAGGATGGAAAACACTACATAAAGGGAAAGGTGGTTAAAATATCAAAGCAGAGCGCTTATTAACAGTTGTTAGATAAAACCTGAAGGCTATGCTAGGGCTGGTTTTCTTAAAAAAAAAATGACAGTCAAGATATTTCAGAGTGTGTAGTTCACAAGTTAGTATGTTGCGATCAGGAGCATCTTTTTTATGCTAAATTGTGTTGTCTTGATTTTGATCTTTGTAAATCTTCTCTGTAATCCGGCAGGTTGTTTATTCATTAAAGTCATGTTGAAGCTGTTACTGTGGGTGGCAATGAACAGGCCTGCATACTGGAGTTCAGTCAGTTAGGTATTTTATGACTCATTCTAATGGCCTTGCATGATTTGTCCTCAGGCTGCAAAAATGGAAATTCAATTGTGAGAAAGTATAGCTAAGACTACACGTTCTATTATTGTGGGGTTTGCTTTTTAAAGGATTTTTAAAGGCATCATTCTGTAAAACTAAAAACTGGTCAGTAATTTTCTAAAACAGCTGGGCACTGTAGTTTTTCAGAAGCGCTACTCAAACAGGAGTAAATAGTGCATTTGTTAGGGACTATTTTAGCTGCGGGTTAATACACAAGTGGTGCTTTGGTAACTATTTATAGAACCATAACAATGTGGTATTGACTCAAAATAAACTACAATGCCCTTGTTTATTGTAATGAAGTAACATGCCACCCAGTGCAACAGTGGGGCTCATTATTGTGTTTTTAATTGTTTTTGGACAACAACTCTCTATGGTGCAGAGATATTAAGCTATATCATGCTTTCACTACTCAGGCAGGACTGGTAGAATTAATTCATTGTTAGTTTTGCTCTTTTCATGGGATTTATTGATAACGAGAAAAAGATGAAGAAAATATTACTAGCCTTATACTTAAAGCAGCAAATCAATTAAAAAATCCCAGTGAAGAGTGGTTTTGAGTAGTTTTATTGTTGTGTTTCACAGAGACCAGTGCATCTGTGAGTTTATTTATGTATATCATCTTATAATTTTGGATGTATCATTTGCTTTTTGTAGCATAATGGGAACTATATACTGCATCTCATTTTACAACCATGTTGTAATATGATGATTGTATTTATTCTTTGGAATTTGGGATATCTAACAAGCAAATTAAGGTTCATATTCACATACTATTTTATCTTACAACTAGGAGTCCTCCTGAGCAGTACAACTGAATGGGGAGAACTGTTAAGATAATTGTGTGTTTTCACCTTGCTATAGTTAATTAGTTGTACATCTTGTTTCATGCTGCTGCCACTTTTTATGTGCTTGGCCTTCCTTAAAGTTTTCCTTCTCTTCTCAGAGAGCTTTGGCTGGGGTGTCAGGGGTGACTCTGTGAAGCACATTGAGACATCATATGTGATATTGGGCTATACAAATAGACTTGACGTGACATGTGACATGAGGAGCCACAGCCTGTCACTTAGCCCCTGTCACTTGCTAAGTGACATCAAGCTTGGACATGATGCCTCTTAAACTGCAGCCTCAGCCACTGAAGAGGGCCGCAATCAAGAGTTGTGTCCGGCCATGTGGAAATAATGTCAAAGCTTGACACTGCAGTTATTTCAGTTTTGTGTTTGTTTTCCCAAAAAATGGTATTTAGCAAAGTCATATAAAAAACACTCAAGTCAGAGGTGACTTGTGAAAATCTAGAGGGATTAAAACAAAATGTTTACATAACAAAGAAAAACAACCTAAACTTTTTTTTTTCTCTGCTTGCTCTGCTTTGTTTAGGCATAAAATTGCATTAGGCATTAAATGCATTGTCATCAGTCATAAAAACTAGTTTCTAAAACACTGAATTTTGGAGATGCAACATTTTTAAATGGGCTGTCTTGTTCTACATTAATGGCAAAGACTATTGCATAATCTACAGGGAAAATACTTGATTTAATGTTTCACCATATTCAATTAGGGCCAGGCAGTGTGTTTTATCAAGATAAATAATGAAATTTAGCATTATTACATTGTATTTCCTTTGTTCATGTTGGCTTACTTCTGAAATGTGTGTCCTATGTATAATTACAGTCTGTCTGAACTGTTGGTTGTTTTTGGTTAGGTGTCATTGGTTGTGGTAGGTAGTCATGGTAATATGTCTAACAGGCCTCATAAAACAATGTGATGTGTTTGATGGCATTATTACAGCATTATGTATGTTACTCAGTATAGTCTGTGGCTAATAAATGGCAGAGAAAGTCTTAACGTCTTAACATATCTCTCATGTATTGCTTTGTATTGCTTAACTTTTGAAATGAAGTGGGAAGGTGGTGCATTTTCTTGGTCTGCCTGTGGTAGCTATGACTGCATGAGCAGGTGTTTACTTTGAGCAAACCACTGTTTGATAATGGAAACATGATACTCATTACTGTAATTCCTGTGAACCAGAGGGAAAATGCTTACTGAAAACCTTCATGACTGGATTGAACCATTTCAGTCATTACTGCGCTGTGCTAACCGGACACAGTCACGGTTATTCTACATGTATCATGTCCAACAAGGTATTTATATGTACAAATGGTAAAATGTTATTAACAGGTAAATATCGACTTCTTGTCTCCATAATATTGATTTCTGTAACACTGCAGCATGTTAAGGTAATATTGTATTTTTTGTCTATTCAGTAGATGCACCAGAGGCATTCAGGGTTAAGTGCAGTTCTCCTGGCATGCAGTAGATATACGCCAAAGAATTAACAACTAAACATGTTGTAGAGAGATGTTTACAGACTTATACAGTAATTTCAATTATGATAAATCACAATTTATACATTGCAACAATATTTATTTATTTTTTCTTTTTTACAAATAAGTTAGATCTTGTTATTGTGAATTCTGCAGCTTCCATCTGTCAGCACAAATGCTGAGGCAGACTTACAGTAAATCCCTTCCACTTGAGTGGAAGCATTATCTTGGTTGTATGACAGCTTATCAAACCAGACATTGTATAAGAAATGAGTATAAAGCATGCTACAGGTTAGTAAAACACATACAGATATGCAAGAGGACACACACAGCAGCACACACACACATACTGTACAAAAGCAATCAAGCACAGAGCAAAGACATCTCATTTTAGGATCTGGAGCACTGACTCCATCCAGCTAAAACACTTAAAAAAGCAAGAGAAGTGAAAAGCTCAGCAGCGGGTAAACAGTAATTTGCTGTCGTATTTTGTACACAGAGAGCTCAATCAGTGCCATGCTGTGTGGCATAGCATTTAGGAAATGCATTCATACACTGTTTATTTGGAGGATTAGCTGCTTATGAGGTGTAAAAAGTTCATGAGGAAGTTTTTCTGACCTGATTAGGAGTGGGAGAGGAAATTTGTGTGACCCTCTGCACAGTATTAACTAGAAGAAGAGCACTACGAATCTCTCTGAGACTAATTTGAAAAGATAAAAAGTAACATGGGTAATTGCAGCAATTTGAGGCTGCCTCTAAAGATCATAAGATCATTATTCACTGTTGTGGAAATGTAGTGATGAAGAGGAAGGGTTTTATACCCCATAGAGCAGCTGGAAATATTTGTCGCTTCTTTGTTAGATGCAACAGTCATAAGGGTTAAGTAATGAGTTAGTAGACAGTGGAGGTCAGTTATAGGACACTATTTTTCAGTATGACCAACACAGGAGGGGCAGGGAGGGAGGGCGGGGGGGTTTCTGAAATGATTCTGCCCACCTTGGTAGTCACTGTGAGGAGGGGCTTCCCTTCTGATGACGCCTTACTTGGTATCTCCTTCAGGACCATGGCAACAGTCTTATCTGCAGCCCTAGAGTCTTTCCCCTACAACAGTGAAATCAACAATGACTTGTGTCAGGACAGTTGGACAACTCAGTGCTTTTTGCCCCCGTCCAGGGCATCTTACAGAAAAGACTTAACCTTATGATGATGGAAATACTTTGTGGGGCTGTCTACGGTAACACAACATCGACTAAAGACATTTCCACAAGACTATGGCAATGAAAGAGGGTCACTGCACAATATAGAGGGTTGACTGTAGACGGTGATGAGCATGGTCGTCCACGACAGGAGTTATCCAATACTTATAATGACAAAATATCAAACAGGGCTCATTGTACAGACCATATTCTTTACTAACAATTATGTACAGCGTATGGAAGATGAATGTCTATGTCTAATGGGCAGCTCACAGTTGTAATGGATCTCTGGTTGTGGTTATTGTAAAGCTACATTAGGCATGTTGCAATCACAACATGCCTAATGACAGAGGGAATCGCAGAGGGAATTGAAATTTTCAGACTTCAGTGAAAAGTAATGCAATATGAAGTGGCAGTAAATAAGTAAGTAGACAGTGCTCATTTTGTCAAACTCAGCTGATCTGTGAAGTTTCCCAACAAAGTAAAAAAAAGAATAAAAGAGGAAAAAGAGTGTGAGTCCAGTCTCAGATTGCTGTGCTCACTTGTTAAAGGGACCCTATGGAGCTTTCGACCATTTGTAGCAGTGTATTTACATTTTACATTGTCAGGGCCACATTACATAACAGTTAAAATGGATTACATAAGACATCAAATAGACTATGCCAGCTATTATCATCCTTTTCACCTACAGTGCTGTGAGATGGGCTTGATGCTCAGGTTGCAGTCTTATAGTGTTATGGTTTTGTATCGTGTTTGCTGCTGCAGAGGAAATAAGTTCATGTTTACAGTATGAACTCCACCACAACATCTCTCTACCATCCTTCATCAGCAGAGCAGTCCGGACCGTTGTTATCAGCTACTTACCATACTTCCCTCTCCAGGGTTGGCACAGCACTAAAACGAAACGAAGTGTGGAGATAGGGCTGACTATATGTTATGAGCTATGAGCCAGGCTAAATTAGTCTAAGACACCAGTGAGCAAGTTACCACTAACTATTGATTAGTATTTTCGCTGGAAATGCTATTAATAATTTTTTGATCCACAGATGTGTTGCAGAATTAGAATTGTCACAGGAGTCTCCACATTTCATTTCAGGAAAGAGCTCATCCTCCTGCAATTAAATTTGCTGACCAGGGAGAGACAAAACTGATGTTCATCATACTCCTTCTACATTTTGTAGACTCAGTGAAGCTGTCTGTACAGACTGAACATGAAGCTCACTGGAAGCCTTTTAGCTGGATCTTATTAGGGCTTTTCATATTTCCACTTGCCAGAAAAAGGAATTAGGCATTTCTTCCACTGATCATGTCACAAATGCCTCAAAAGCCACCTGCACCCACTCTCTAGCTTAGTCTCACTCATTATAAATGAAAAACATCCATTGCCAAGGTGATGCCAGTAGCAAAGTGGCATTCACACGACCAGAGATGATTCAGAAAAGCTCTTAACAAGCCTAAACATTTGTTTATAGTTGTTTTTCTGAATGGCAGATGATGCCATTTGAAAAACGCTGAATGCTCCCTCTGTGCAGGATGTGCAGGTATTGTGTGAGCCAACAGTGTCGAGAATATCTTCCACCAGGCACCCAGTCCGTTTGTATTGGCTTACAGTCTTGGATGGCCTGCTGCGCTGCTTTGTGTCGACTTTTGCTAAAGTGGCTCTTATTTTTCTAGGAATGATTATAGATATGTTTGGCAGCACACTGCAGTGGACAGCTATCAAGGAACTTGATGGCCTTTTCTTTTTTTCTTTACAACTTTGTTTTCTTGATCAACATAGCTTGACAATAAGACAATTATGTGCTGAGAATGGAGGCTTTTTTTCAAGCATGCAGGCTGCTAAAGACGGAAATATGAATTATTAATTGTTTTGTTTAAGAACATCTGATTTCAGTGTCTGAGCTGAATGAAACCACTATAACACATTTTAATCAAATTGTTTCCTTCCCTAATACAGCAGCATCTGACTAAAGATTTGGTCACTGAGGGGCTGTTCTGGAAGATAAAATCAAAGAACAAATGATCCACAGCAGATGAGATTGAATGCAGCATTATGCAAACAGTTTAAATCAAATCATTAGGTGCTGTTGGTGGCAGAGGACATAAACGTTGCTGTTTATCTCAAGGCTCAGAAAATCTATTTACAATTTCCCAGCCACCGCAGCGTGTTCATCACTCCAATCTAATATATTTCCCGGGAAGTCAGTGTTCTACACGGGATTTTTTTCATAGGTAGGACTGAAAAACTTTATGAATTTCTTAGCAATGTTAAAATCAAAATATTCAGTGGTAACAACATGAGTGTGTTGTTTTTCTATGTCTGGAGAGAGTTTGTTCCACATGCTATATGTTGTATCTATTCTGGGGAAAGGCATCATTACTTGAAAATGGTCTATTTGAAGAACTTGGCTTTCATGCTGAAGCAATGACCTGAGAGAACCCTGTTTGTTGTTGGGTGAAGGAGGCAGCTTGGCTTTGGCCTGAATCGACAGATTGTCTCATTTGACCGACTATTTCCTTCTGCTTCCTGCCTGATGTTTTCAAAGTCCCTTTCTGCAGTCAGTCAGTAACAACGGTGAATCCTTGAGCAAAGAAGCTAATTATGACCTGCTTTGTCCATTCAGAGGACTGTTGCTGTCTAAGAGGCCTGGGTTTATCTATTTATCAGCCAATATTTCTGAACTTAGCTCAGAGTACAGCCCTATTAATGTCATGGTTTTAGTTTTGGGTTTTATTTCCTGTTTTATTTAGTTAAATACTTCTTAATATTGCTTTGCGTGCTTTACCTGTCCCTCATTATCTCCACCTCTCTTGTGTGTATATATTGTTTGGTGTGTTTGCATTTGTCAGGTCATCTTGTGTTTGATTTACCTTTTGCCTTACTTCCTGGACCTCTTTGTTTTTGGATTATTATTATTTTGTGTTCCTTATGAACTGCCTGCTTTATCTTTATCTTAACATTTAAAACATTGCTGGCTTCATCTGGTAAAAGTGAAGGCATTCAGACATACAGTAGGTTTCATATCTGACCGAGGTCACACCTCTGCTCTTGACCAGGTTTTAATCAGGGTCTGGTATTTGCTTTCCATCAAAGACTACCAGCAATGAGCCCTGTGATTTCAGTGTGGGACCGTTTGAGACCAAGTTTAATGACCAGTGATATCCCCATCAAGCAGTTTACACAAGATGAAGGTCAGGTCACCAGGGTATGCATCCCAAACAATGGAGGCATGGTTGCTCCAACTAATGATGAGTAAAATACAATTTTTAATGCAGACCAGCTATATTGTGCAAACTTTTGTGGCATTTCATTGCTTCTACACAAAATGTAGTTTCTTACTAAACCTCTTTAGAGATGAAATACTGTAAATGTTTGCAGCAGAGATGGGATTTTTATTAAAATAAAGTGAATTTCATGTCATCAGATGACTGTACCGTAACCTTTTAGATGTCAAAACAATTTGCTGTATATGGGTCCATCTTTTTGGATGCTGACATGTCAAGAATGCAGTGGGAAAAGGTAATACTGTAAGCTTGCCTTTTGCTATGAAAAGAAGAAAACAGGTTTCTGTTCTGTGGCACAATGCCCATTGAAGACAACACATTTTCTTCTCAGTAGACATCTCCCCTCTACATTACTTCTACATTAAATTGTGTCAATCTAAAACAAAAAAAATGTAAAGGTTAGGATTGTCTGACCAAGCACGAGATTGTCCAGACTAGTGTCTTCAGTGTCAAAACAAGTTTCATGACTACCTTTAACCATATTGAAGTGCAACAAACCTGTTGCATACAGATACAGAATAGTTGCTGACTCATATCTTGTGTGAAAAACAATATTTTGGGATTTAATTATGGTATGACTGAACATCTGCTTTGGGGTAAAGGAATTCTTACTTGAAGTTGTTCTGTCAATGTCTGTTAAATAAATAAGTAGTTCCAGTACATTGAGGTTTTTGGCATTTAAAGTATTCAGTGTGTAAGATTTAATGTCATCTAGTGGTGAGGATTGTGAATTGCAACCATCTATCCACTCAACCACTGCCCCCTACCCATTCAAAGAGCGTAGGACAGCTACGGTGGCTGACACAGCACAAAAGGTGTCTCTTCTGAGATAGCAGAGAGTGGCCAGTCAAGAAATAAGGTTTCTTTAGGTTTATTTATTAAGAAATTTTATTTACTTAATTATTCAGTAAAACCATATGTTATTGCGACTTGGCCACTGACAGATAACATGGAAAATGTAAGCCAAGAGTGTGAAACATTGTCACTGTTTCTGCACCACAGTCCATTATAAACCACACATTAGATAAAGTTTATACAAACGTTGACAAGGGAAACAATAATTTTCTCTGTGATTATGGACCCTCACCAAAACTGCCCGCCAACAATATCTGGCCCGCTGCCAGATTATATGGTGCTTTGATAGCAGCAAAAAATATAAATAAATAAATGCTTTGATAGCGGTGCTGAAATAGATCTCAGTCATGACAGCACCAGTTACTTGCAGAATCACTTCCTCTTTAGTGCTTTTGCCCACAAAATAAAAGCACAAAAAGCTTGTTTACTCCAATGCAGTATTTTAAGTTGAACTGAGCTTTTACTTTGAAATATTCTGAACGACATGAAAAGAGTCTGTAGCCTGCTTGACAAACCTCTGAAAGAGCCGTCAGAAAACGTGATTCCCCTAAATGTCCTCTGCCTGGAGATCCTGGGGAAAAAGTGTCCGTAGGTTGATGGATGCGGATCAAACACCGAAACAAAAACAGTACAGCCGTGATCTAAGAAACATTCGCTGCAGAATCCATTTGTTGAAGAGAGAAAAAAAATATTGTCCCAAGCTGGGATCAAACACTCAACCCTTGGTTTGCAAGTCCTACACTTTACCAACTGAAATAACCAAGT